AACCTGGTTTTAACCAGAACTAAACAGAGACTATCATTTCTAAATTTTTAAGAGCCATAGTTCATCTGCTACATAGTTAAAATCATCACTAGATGGTGGCATTGTACCACCCAAATAATTTACTGTTTTTCATTTTAAATAGTATTTGCTCTAAAAATATAGTTTGTCACTTTCTTCCACAGATTTTTTGGGTTGTGCAATTTTTTTTCCATCTTTGTCATTTTTGACATATCTCATGCATATCAATGTATATGTTGGCAGCAGATGAATAAAGAGTGTGGAAAGAAGGGGAAAAGCCTGGGGGAGGGGGGAAGGGTGTGTGTTACTGGCATTGTGTTGATTTATCACTGTATGTATAATATGTATCTAATGTGGTACCTGTGGGACAAAATCTGACAGGCACTTACCCTGGTGTACAGGAATGGGGACTGTACAATGTGTCTCCTTTTTTGTGTACCCTGCACAGAGCCCTGTCAGAATTACAGTACCTGTGCTCTGGGACCTACATTACACTGAAAGGGTGGGAGGTAGGTGGAGTCAGATTCTCAACCTCTTTCTGAATGGCCTGCAGAGTAAGGGGAAACGTGCTGCCCCTTGTGATGGAATAAAGCAATGGTGCATTCCTCCTGCACTGAGGAGCTTCCCCTGGGGCAGCCTAGCTTGGTCCACACCACCCCTAGTGCCAGGCTGTGCCTTATATGTACCATTTAGCCCTGGGTGAATTAATGCAATCAAATCAATAAAATCCCTACATTAAAAATGCAGTGTTATCTTACAAAATATGTTCAGGCAACAGGCCACACCATAGTCATTGACAGGATGTTAATTGACACTAAGCCAGAGTTTGTGGGAAGGAGAATGGGGGAAAAAAGCACGAATGAAAAATCCAGTAAACAGAGCCAACCACATTCGGGCACCAGGATGGAGAACACAATTTAGAGAACTGAAGTGATGTTAAAAATATCCAATTAAACAGATCTCAGAACAAACAGGATGGTAAGAAAGGAGAAAGCCTGGAATGCAACATAAATGGTGAAGCCCATAGAAGGTATATTCTTCCCACACTCCTTACCAAGTGCACAAAGACAAAACAAAAGCAGGGACAGTTAATACCAGTTCTGTATAGTTCTGGTGCCCAAGGCTTAAATTCCTAGAAGTGTCCCAATAACTTTGCATGCCCAACTTGAATTACCTAGTAGATAATTTTCTTATATGCATTAGAAAAAATGCTAATGTGCTACGTGTAATAGAAACAAAGGGGGAAGGTCTGAAGTCAACCAGTGCCCACTTTCCAGCAGCCACAGAAAATTGGAGCACTGAATATTTATGAGTAGGTGGGGTTAACAAGCAACATCCTTGCTAATATACCTTTGAGAGATTTCCCTCCCCATCATCCCAAATTCAGTGATCAATTTAATCCTGTCTACAGGCACACAAACAAAATTCCACAATTAGGAATCTTATTCCATTTCAACCCTGAGATGTTACGGATGTCCAGGTAATTGTCCATTTTTCCCACGAAATTCTCGGGATCTGGATTCCCCTTCTAAGGCAGAGAATTCCAAATGTTGATTACCCTGTGAAGAACAAAAAGCCCTTCCATCTAGTTAACCTGCCTTCAAACAGTCCCATGTGTTTTCACTGCAGGCATAAATACAATATTAAGTGTACGTTCCCATCAGTTTTATGATAAACAAAGAATCAGTGTTGCCGTCTACATTGGTGAAGTTTTGTTTTTTTTCCTTCAGACCCGAGCATACTTCCAGAAACAATATTCTAGCTGGTTAAATTATTTTCCTCTCTAAAGACAGATGTGCAGATTAGCTAATTGAATCTCTGATGTAGATTTTTGTATGTATTGCTTTCACTGTACTGTGCAAAGATAATCGTTCTGTGGTTTGCAAGCAAAACCGGAGTAACGTAATGCCAGGAAACAAGATGCCAGAAATATAAGTTAAGACTGTTACCAAAAATTCATGAGGAGAAGAAAAAAAGAATGAATTCTGCTTCAAAATAAGCTCCTCCAACAAGAAGAGTAAACTACTTTCCCTTTAAGAACAGGAGTACTTGTGGCACCTTAGAGACTAACAAATTTATTTGAGCATAAGCTTTTGTGAGCTACAGCCCACTTCATCAGATGCATTCAGTGGAAAATACATCCGATGAAGTGAGCTGTAGCTCACGAAAGCTTATGCTCTAATAAATTTGTTAGTCTCTAAGGTGCCACAAGTACTCCTTTTCTTTTTGCGGATACAGCCTAACATGGCTGCTACTCTGAATACTTTCCCTTTGTCATTCTACCCTCCGATGATTAGCTGAGATTTAACCATGATAATTTAACCCTCCGCCCACACCTATTTCTACATGTAAAGGCTTTAGAAAGGGTTTAAAACCTGCAGTTTCTCTTTTATATTAATAATGCTGGTGTATCTCATCCTAAATTTGGTTGATTTACCAGTTCAGTAGGAATAGTTCATCTTTGATTTAACATCTCTATGGAAATTATTCCCAAATTTTAGAAGTGGAGAAGTTTTGTAGGAACATATTAATAGGCTTGGAAGGATTCTGTTTTAATCAATAAATGTCAATAAACCTTGATTTTGCCATACACACACAAACCGACAAAAAATATTTTGACTGATAATAAATCAATAATAATAATAAAAATTTACAAATAGCCAAGCAAGAAAAATGCTGCTTCAGAACTTATCAGAGTTTGATTTAAGAATATTCCCTTGTATATTTTGACATGTAATGGTGACAATTTGTGTTTTAAAGTTTTAACTTTCTGAATCTTAACGTTTGTCATTAAATTATTATTTGACCCTCCATAATTTCCCACAACTGTGAACATTTAAATTGATAAAAATGCTTAAAAACAAGCACTGCTATCCACTGAAATTATTTTTCATAAATTGAATTTTGCCAAGCCTACATACTAAGCTTAACTCCAGAATTTCATCCCATTTCTGAAGCCACTTTCGAAAAGGAGAAAGTTAAAAATATCACAGGAATTCCACAGCATAAAAGGCAGTACAAACCAATGTATGCTTATATTCCATAGGAAAAAACTCGTAGAACTCATTGAAATATTTTGAATTGTGACGTGGATGAAAATGCAAAATGAAAAAAAAGTTAGTAGCATTTCAACATATTTTCCCTTCATTTTCCGATCAACTATAGAGCTGCTTAAATGTTTTCAAGGTTTCAAAAACAAATTTTCTTCACCCTTTTTGACCAACTCTAGAAATTTTTGGCATGATGAAAAAAAGTGGGCAAAAATCAATATCTTAATTTTACAGGGTGCTAAACTCATGTAAAGAAATTGCCAGCTTAAAAGTTGTTTCCCATGCAAATTAACCTGTATCGAGAAGAACAGTAATATACCACCTGACAAGCCTATCCAGGCCTGCATGTGCATAGGACAGCCTAGGAGAAAGCCCGCAGCCAACTAAGGCACTGGGAAGATTATGCAGCTTTCTAACAAGTATATTTATCAGGGAGGGCACTACCTGATTAGTCAGAGAAAGGCACAAGTTAAAACAGCCTGAAGACTGGTCTACCACAGAGTGGCATCAGGATCCAGAGAGTGTAAAGGGTAGTTTTACACCTCCAACCCTCCCACGGCTGCACCAAGCCCTCCTTGTCCATTGCTGACTCAATTCACCAAAGTATCTGAAGCCTGATGACAAAGGGTGTCCCTCACAACCATCATTCTTAAGACAAGAAGATTCAGGCCTAAAGAAGCAAAATGATCACTCATGAGCTAAACTTCAAGTTTCTTGTAAGAAACGATCAGGGGACTATGCCAGGAGCCCTCCAGTCCTTCTGGTGGCAAGACTGAACATGACAAGCATTGAACAAAAGTTTAAATAATGTCCTCTAACCATAGAAAGGCCATTGAACTTTTAAGGATGTGCAGTTGACTGATTTAATGAGTAAGAGATACCAATAGCATTGAACAGTGCTTTGATTCATTACAAAACTGTTGCTTGAATAACAGCCAGACTCCAAGGGAGTTTATGGATCCCCCTGAGAGCATATATCCAAGGACTAAACCTTTATAATTGATTAACTCCCATATCCCCATTTGTAACAAGTGGTGTTTGTATCATCCCAGAGGGAGTGGGAGGAAAGGGATTGGCTTCTGCTCAGCAATACAGGCTACCGTGAGCACATCAAACCTGTCCTCCACTCTCTAAACTGGTTTCCCACAGATTCTTAATCAAGTTCAAGGTCTTGGTCCTTATCTTCAAGGCATTCCATGACATCTAAAAGATCTCCTAAAGCTCCAGAATGAAGACAATGGTTGAAAACTTCATTCCTCGGGCACAATGGAGCTCTCTACAACAAGGTTAAAGCTCATCTGTAAAGGAAACAGAATTTTCTCAGAGGGTGGTCCAAGCATGTGAAATTATTTTCCCCAGGAGCAATGGACTATCATAAACCTTACTGCCTTATGCTCTGAGTGCAAGGTGCATTCCTTTGACCTTGGCTTCTCCAACAAAAATGTATTATAGCAGCATACACAGTGAAAAAACTCCACTGAACATACTTTTTCCCATGGGGAAAGAATGAGAGAACAAACATGTGACAGACATTAGTCATATTGCTTAATGTATTAGTGAAAGACATTCAAGTATTACAGTGATGAGACTCTTGCTATTTTAGATCATCTCAAAAAGGCAGTGAAGCAGAGAAAAGCTGGCTCCTTTAAGTGTATGTTCCTAATGTAAACCTTTATTTTTGCTACCATAACATAAATGAGCTGAAATACCATTTATCCTGTTTATTTAGGCCATTCAGCGTCTAGCTCTACAGCTAGAATGTGTTGTCATTTTATATAGAGAGAGAGATTTGCTTTTTTAAAGCAGGGAAGAGACATGTTGCTGATCAGTTGACCACAGAGCTTGCATAACGTATGTTATTGTGGAAGAATATTAAGAGGAAGTTAAATTTTTACTCAGAAAAACAAACAGAAAGTGGGAATAACAGAATGAGCAGGGAAGCATAAATTTTGTAAAGACATTTTTCTGTATACCAAGTGCAACATTTGTGCAAATCTGAATGAGCTTCTTATTCATTCTTCAGTGGACATGACATATACAGACTTCAAAGTACAAAGGTTTGTATTATGTAAGAAATAAGGTTCAGTTAGAACTGCACAGAGCCCCAACAGCATAGAAACTTCTATATGAGCAAGAAATTATTGCTACGTTTATTCATATCCCCCATCTTTCCACTCCTATGTGTTAGCATTGTCATCACCTACACATCTGGACCTAACTCTCAGAGATGTGAAGGCGTGTCACAGCCTGGCTTTTCAACTGCACATGACACCTACACTGTGTGGCACACCTCAGTCACAACAATATTATTATAGGCTTTTCGCTGTATTTGAGACGTCTGCCACACAGGTCATGCAATATGACAGTCACCTTTGCTTTTTATTTACTACTTACAAAATAAAAAGCACACCATAAAAAAAGAAGCTGATTCTGTGCTCTCGGCCACAAAACCAGCAGCACTCACTACCCCACGTGTTATACCTTGGAAAAGTTACAAGAGGAGCAGGTTCCCTTTAAGCTTCTTTCGCTGCCTTGCCAGAATCAAGCACGAACATGGCCTGCTGCAGTGCCTCAGGGAGAAAGGGAAGCCCAGAATAAGGTGACTCAGCCCCAGAAGCCACTCAAAAAAAATTCAGCACAAGCTCCAGCCAAATTAAAGACCTGCTGTACCAGAAGTATATAATTTAGTTTTTGCTTTGGATTCAGCAATCCCTTAAAGCACTCCACCATGGAGGCCTGTCCACCCTGCCAGAAGCTATGGAGACAAAAACTAAAATGGCAGGCTCTTCAGCAGGTGGGTTGTCTCTGAGCCCTCAGAAAAGGTCAGAGTTGTGCCTCCATGCTGTCTGAAGACCCATGATAAAACCTGTGGGCACAACTGTGCTGGAGAGAGCATTCGGAAATAAGCTTGATGTACTTTATATATCTTACAGGATTTTATGAAAATATTAAGGATAGGAATAAAACTGAGTTCTGTGTGCAGAAGATTTTCACCTGCAACTAAGTATGCTCTACACAGTATAGTCTGCTCACCACCAGCTCTCCTCTCCCTCCTCCTTTACTTCTTTATGAAGAACTAAAATGGGAGGGCAGGGGGGAGGGTTTCTTAGGACTACAGCACAGGAGAAGGAAGCAGGACACCTGGGTTCTATTCCCTGGTATGGCACAGGCTTACTGATTCACTTGCTTGGGTAAATAATGGCTACCTAACTCACGGTAGCTTTGTACAACACCTAACACAATGGGGCCTTGATCCATGACTAGGGCCCAGAGATACTATCGCAATATGAATAAACAACAACTGTAGATGCCGCAATAACTGTAAATAATAATTAAATAAGTTCAAACCATTTCAAGAATCTCAGGTGAAAGAAGGTTTAGAAAAACAAAATGTCTTTAAAGAGCAAGAAAAGAGACGAAAATAAAAGGGAGGCATGTGAAATGAGGAAAAAAAGGCATGACTTGAGTTTGTAAGTACCTCAATCAGATCAAATTATTTTCAGAAAAAAAAAAACAAAAACCCTCAACAGAACCACAGTATAAAAATCTAGACATAATGAATGTTCATTTAATTGTATTTGTTATTTAACCTCAATTTAAAAAAAAAAACACTTCTCTGCAATAAGGTTTCTTTTAAGAAATTGCAAACATTATGTGCCACGGTATTTGCTACATGTCAGCTTTAAATATCCGAGATACTGAGACAACGATTCAGATACCTCCCAATATCAGCACCATGGCATAGTGGCAACTGAATTATGTTGTAGGGGGTCTTTTTAATCTTGAAAACATTTAAGTGAGTGAGGTGATCAGTTGGTAATACACACTAGAAGCTTCTGAAGACAAATAGTAAATATTTTAAAGTGAGCTGGTCTGTGCCATTAAAATACGACATCATCATCTTTCTGTTGCTGCAGAATAGCTGAAAGTTTTTGGATCCAAGGAAGACACTGTTTGTCTGGGTGGCATTCGGTATCTCACATTTTTCCAGAACTTTGTATTTGCTGAGGGAGTTTTCTCTGTGAAGTCCGCTTTCCACCTGATGGCCCCATGCTTTTGTTTAATGTATTTGATGGATTCTGGCATGTTCGTGTAGTCCTGTATTTTATCTAGTTCAATCAGAATAATTTTTATTTCATCACGGATAAGAGCGTTGTACACAGCCAGTTGCTGTTCAAAGGTATCTTCTAACACATTGTAACTCGCTGCTTCTGATTCTAAAATTATCATCAGTCTTCTGCTTCGTTTGATGGTTTCATCAATAACATTGACCACAGCTGTAAGTAATGCAAGAATGATCAAAGTAGCCATAGAAAAGTTTCAACTTATGCAAAACGTCCCTCATTATTTTAAAAGTACAGACTTATGGGGCAGTGGCTCGCTCAGAGGATTAGTAGAGTATAGAACCTTTTATCAAACAGGTTTCAGAGTAACAGCCGTGTTAGTCTGTATTCGCAAAAAGAAAAGGAGTACTTGTGGCACCTTAGAGACTAACCAATTTATTTGAGCATGAGCTTTCGTGAGCTACAGCTCACTTCATCGGATGCATACCGTGGAAACTGCAGCAGACTTTATATATACACAATATATAAAGTCTGCTGCAGTTTCCACGGTATGCATCCGATGAAGTGAGCTGTAGCTCACGAAAGTTCATGCTCAAATAAATTGGTTAGTCTCTAAGGTGCCACAAGTACTCCTTTTCTTTTTATCAAACAGATTGTTAGTTCAAATCCAGTTCACTTCAGCAGCGATCAAAAGTGGTTTCTACCTGAGAGCTGGTCAGTAACCTGTGTGAAATGAGTTTGTAGTCTAGGTCTCATTGAACAGACGTCCACACCACAAAACCCACTAATGGCAATGGTGGGAGGCAGTGTTCCCTGGTGGATAGAGCACTGTACTGGGACTCAGAAGACCTGGGTTCTACTTCCAGTTTGCCCATTGGCCTGCTGGTTGACCTTAGGCAAGTCACTTCACCACTCTGTGCCTCACAGTTTCCCCATCTGTAAAATGGGGGGTTCTTACTTGCTTTGCAAAGCTCTTTGAAATCTACTGATGGAAAGCTCTACATAAAAACTAGATTATTATTATTATTATTTATTATTATCATCAATTCTTTGGTATCCTTGTTATTCTCACTTGATATTTTTTTAAATTAAATAATGGCCATCTTGTATTTCTGTCTCAGAAGAGGGAATTCTTTGTAAGGAATAGTTGCTCCAAGTCCCTCATCCTTAAAAATCAGCAATGGTATAGTCAATTCAGCTAAACTAAGTTTACAAAATTAGTCAGTCTCACATTGTTTTTTTCATCACCAGCATACACAACAAATCTTAGAACAACATGTCAAAAAGAAACATAGCCAGGGTAACATTAATTTTGCTGTTTTTAACATACCTTCCCCCAGTAAATCATCCCTTCCAAGTATAAAAAGATTATATCCACACTGTCTCTCTAAGACCTCAGGCAGTATTCTCAGAACAAAGTTGTTCAGGGTATAGACACATCTCACCCCACTGGTTTTTGGATACATGACATATGCATCATAGATCTTCCCATCTGAAGCTATAAAGAAAGAGCAAGAGACTCCTTTAAAAAAAACCCTACCTTTATTACAATTTTTAATTGTTTAGCATTTAAAATCCTCTGGCAAACAACCAGGAAAGGGGATGAAATGCTCTAAAATGAAGGATGGATGACCAGGCATAGATCTAACTCATTCTCTTCTCATGGATGAGGGGTTTGCCACCAGGTGGATTGGACACAGCACCCTATGATCTGCAGGGAAAGAAGTCCCAGCCCCACAGGTCCTAGGTAGACATCCACAACGCATACCTACCTCCTCCAGAACGCTCTCCAGCCCTCCTCCTGCCTGACAGTGTGGCATGCCAGAGAGCCATGCTGCCATTGGCTGAACACCTGAGCTGGTGGGAAATGCCAAATATTTGTCAGCAGAAAATTTGAGAACATGTTGGGGTTTAGATTTGATAGAAGTTTCCCACCCAAAAAAATTATATTTTTTTCATAAACAAAACAAACAAAAATGTTCGAATGCTTTTCAAAAATCATTTTGAGTACAAAAAAAATTGTTTTACCAAAACCCCAAATTTTGTTTTTTCATTGAAAAACTGGAAATTTTTGTCAAATGAAATCAAGGAATGGGGCAGTGGTGGCACTTTTTCCCCCTTTGGCACCTGCCTCTCATAGCTTTCAGCTTCTAAAAGGAAGGGGATGGATAAAAAGAGGAACTGGTCGACAATGCTCTCACCTTGAGAAAAGTCTGAGAGTCTGATTTTCAATAGAAACATTCCAGGCAAAATCTCATATTGCCTCTCCTATACAAAGCTTTCTAAAAAAAAATATTTCAGTTTTAACCTTGGACAGTACCATTGCTGCTAAATGGCAGTATGTTGCTCTGGTGACATCTACTGGTCACCAACAGGTAAGCTACAGAGCTTCTGGCAAAACAAGGTGCATTTTTTAGCAAAGCAGACAGCAATCTGGGGAAAGCATGGATTTCTGGTTGAACCACCTAACCATCATTGCCACAGAGACTTCCAATTGTTCATCATCTTAGTATTTTATGCATTTTACTCACTCATTTCAGTGTTTTCAGACATCTTTTCACCTTGCATCTTTGAAAACACGCTCCAATTTCTTTAGAAAATTCTAAACAAGTTCTACCATGGAGGTTGTTTCTTCCCCATCATCAAAAGACCTTCCTAAACACTCTTGTGCAAGTTACAGGAATCAATATAAAAAGGTAGCAAACTGGCTGCTCTGACATACCTTCTTTCTTTACAAGAGCACAGCAAGAACTACGATACCAGAGCACAATGTCAATCTTGAAAAGCTTGAAGATTAATAAAGTAACAACTGTTAAAAGCAGCAATGCAATGAATCCTCCAGTCAGTGATTTGTGAAAATCTACCACTGCATCAGTAAAAGAAAAAAAGAAGAAACTGTGGAATTTGTCCAACTTTGAACTTTCAAACAACTGTAGTAATATTCAAAAGCTACGTTTCTATATTCTCATTTTTTTAATAAAAAGAAACTATACATATGTATTACTATAGAGCAACCATATCAATTATTGGTTGGGCAAAGCAATAAGTAGAGCATCTAATACACAGGAAAATAATTAACATTTTATGTTTTCATAACACCTGCTACAGGAGGATGTGAATGCTCTTTACTGTCATGAATAAATCCTCATAACAGCTCTCTAAGTTAAATAGTGTTAGCAGTAGTTTATAGATGAAGAAATCTTGGCACAAAGAAATTAATACACAAATTTTCAAAAGTAACCCCTAAATTTGATCCACTATGATTGATTGATTGTGTGTAGTCCAGGTTGAGGATTTCTGATGGTTAGTGTGTAAGACAGTGAGTGAGTCAGGAGACTCAATTTCTATTCCAAACATTGTCACTGACTCAGTGTGTGGCCATCAGCAAGTCATTTAGGCTCAAATTTCTGAATGCCTCAATTTTTGATCATCCAACATACGGCAGAGTAGTTTTGAACCTTGCTCCTTCATTTCTATTCTTTGAAAGCTTCTCATAATTTACTCTAATGTAGAAATCCCTCCAAACTCTGCTATTTAAAATTTCCCTTCACAGTGTGTACATTCAGCCCTTTTATTAATCTAATCTCCTAAATCTTCATATGCTCCCCTCCAATTTCTACAAACACACACACCCTATCTTCCCCTCTCATTCCTGCCCCCACCCTAGCTCACACATCTTAAGGTTAATCATAAGGAAAAGCAGTTTATCTATCTACATACTTATATGACTCCCATCATTGTGGTATCTGAGCACAGTATCCAACTCTTCCTGGGAAAGTCAAGTCAAATGTATCCAATAATGGGTTACCTCTGTGTTTTAATGCTATATATGTTGCAACTTGACCAAAGGAATTCAAAGCATGGCAGACAAAGCGATGTTCGTAATCCTCGCTATTCACTTCAGAAATGTTGAGCCTCACCGTAGTGAGAGGGCGTCCATCATAGAAAGTTTCTTCTCTATCCAAAAGGTAGCAAACACAGTAATAAAAACAACTCAATCCTTACTGAAGTGGTTTCTTCGCTAGCAATCACAATAGGACAATAGTCACTGATCTTCAACTCTATGACCATATATCAGATTCTTTTCAGAACTGACGGATAGCTGGACTCTATAAGGGGATCTTCATGACACTTCGTCTATCTCTAACAAGCAGGATGGAGATCGGGAGACATCCTTATATAAACACAGTTGGTGCACCGTTTACTCAAAAGCATACACAGTTTCTATAGGCTACTTGTATAAAATATTTGCTTTATACATTATACTTACGGGTACATTTCAGCTTGCAAAAACATGAATGTAGGGAAAGGATTGTATTAGAGCTTTGAATGTCTTTGAACTCTGTGGATACAGCTGTAGAGGCCACAGAGATGGCTGGGGGAGAACGCCCCCCCAGCATAAGTACACATAAGGCAGCTACAGGCTGCCACACAAGGTCCCTCTTCCCTCTCACCGCAAACCTGGTGCAGGAAATGTGCCAGGGGTGGGGCTGGAGCTAGAGGATGTGGGACCATAACACTAATACGATTCTGGGAGTACCATCACCCACTGAAAGTTCAGGCACAACTGCCATTTCAGCCCCAGGAGTAGCACAGAATTAGGAGGGCTTAGTCCTCCCCACCCTGGGCTCGGAGGTTTGTGCTGCACTTTTAAGAGGCCCAGCACAAATTCTTCCCCATGGTATTTTCCAAGGCCCCCATGGTGCTAACCTTATCACACCTTTGGTTTGTAAAGTGTGGCAGGGTAAATGTTGCATTAGAAACTGTAACTTTTTAGTACTGGGAGAATGGGGGATATAATTTATCTTGTTAATTTCATATTACATCTCTCACATTAAAGAACCTATCTGCTTATCCAACTAATGTTTATTACTGAATATATTCTATTTACCATTTGAAATGTCAACTAATTATTTAAATATATTCAAAAATGAAGGTTATAGAGCTTATACCTCAGGGATCTGTGGATTAATTATCTATCACATACAATAAAATCCATAAACTAAAAGAATATTATTGAGGCTGTAAGGTCAAAAGTTAGGAAATGCCAGAATTATGATGGCACAACCTTAATCTGGGCCCCCTCTATGGCTGCATTATGATACAGTCTTTAGTTACATGATCACTTACTGTATTTCCACAGGACCATCCGTCATTCAGTGCACAGGATGGATGGTGCTCACTTAGTGAGCAACTATTCAATATTTCATTTTCTCCTTGTTGTTCAATGTGTAACCCTATTTACCACACACTATCCAGACCACACTCTGAAGATAGAATTAGAAAATCCCACAAGGAAATTACTATGGCTTTTCTTCATTACAGTATCTGAGTACTTCGTAAACATTAATTCATTTATCTTCACGAAGCCCCCATGAGATGAGGGGGTGGTGGAAGCCCTGTTTTGCAGATTTTTTTGCAAACTGAAGCACAGAAGGATTGAGGTCAAAAAGTGTCCACTAATTTGGGGTGCCCAATTTGAGGAACCTAAGACTCTGTCCCAGCCCCAGTCCTCCCGCCCAATCCCAGTCCCCTTACCCAGCCAGTCCCAGTTCCCCATCCCAGCTCCTCATCTGCTCCATCTGTCTCCCCAACCCTGGCACCCAGTCACCTCCTCCCCCAATTCCTCCCCGACACCCAGCTCCTTGTCCTAGTCTCTTTTCTCAGCCAGTCCCAGTTCAGATCCTGTACCCAGACTCATCATCAGATCTGTTTCCCCTCCTTGCCACCACCTCTCCTCACCCTGCTGGTTCTCAGTCTCCTTGCTCAGAAAGTCCCAATCTTCCCCTAGCTCTTCATACAATCTCAGTCCTCCACACACCTACGGTCTCCACATTCTACCTGATTTACCTGTCCAGCTCCCAGTTCTAACCTCCTTGCCCACCCCAAGTCCCTGTTTCCCTCAGCCCCTCCCTGCCAGCCTCCAGTCACAATTTCTGCCTCCCAAATGTTCCTTGTCCCTGTCTAACCGCTACATGTCTGGGTGTAGTCCCCCCTGCATTTGAATCAGGCAGCTTCCTCTCTCACACTGCCTGGGCCCAATGAGGTGGGGGTGAAGGGTGTAGTCAGAGAGCACAGAATGGGGATTCTCCCTGCTCTCAATTCAGGTGCCCAGACCCAGACCGGGCAGCATCCCAGAGCTGCAAGTGCAGGGAAAGTCCTGCTGAGCCCTTGGCTGAAGCATGTTCCATGTGGATGGAATCTTTGGGGAAATTTACCTGTAAAATCTAAGAAGTTTCCCAGTCTCATAATTTAGCCAAATTTAAGCAGATTTTCATGGGGATGGCAAAATACGCATCCCTGACACAGAGGCTACCCCCAGCCAAATTTAAAGCCCCTGCTCCAAAGCATATGGGCCCTAGAGCATTTCAAACAAAAGGTTGCCAGAATTTTGTAACATTGGGTAAAAAGAAATCATTTTGCCCCAATCTCATTCTCAGAAATGTCAGAACCATTTTGACTGGAATTAAAAGGAAAAAAAAAATCAGCTTGTAAAATTTCAGCACAAACCATTAAAGTTTGGCAAAGTACTAAGCAACGGAAAACAAGGTCTTCTAACTGGAAGTGTTGGGAACCTTAGTAAAAGGCAGTGCTACCAGCCCTACCCATAATTAGATCACAAACGTGTGTTTATTTGTGTAACAGTAAATTTTCATAGCTGATTCAAACAAAACAAAGAAATTATACAAGATTTTAGCTGAGAATTCAATACATTCTGATCTGGAAGTATACTTACTCATAATCTTCCTCTTCAAAAATTCTACTCTTGTAATATATATCAATGTATGTGTCGTTGACTGTCCAGTACACCTGAAACACTTCAGCGCCTGTTACATTGCAGTCCACTATGACGCGTGAGCCTACAAGACAGTGTTACAAAATGGCAATTTAAATAACTATATTGTAGTTAAGGGCCATACAATTCCTTACACTAATACATATAAGAATGCTATATCCACTGGAAGTCAGCTGCAGGCGTGGAAGGAGCAGAGGATGGGCAAAGCAACAGCAGCTCCACACTACACTCTCCATGCCTTCCCACTCCATTTCACAGAAACCCCTCTGACCCAAATGTACAAGTTCCAGGATCTGCAGGTTAGGAAGGGGACTGGCTGGGCCAGAAGAAGCTGAATCCAGGAGGGAATAGGCATTCTGTATGGCATCAGCCACCCAAAGGTTTCACAGGGGTTTCCACATCTGTAGGTATTCTGGAGCAGCCACTTCCAAAGAGCACAGAAGGAGCTGTGCTACAGTGAAGGAGAAGGCTGGGGAAAGCAACATTGCTCCATTCAACTTCCTCTGCCTCTCAAAAAAATTCCCTAGACATTTCCTAGGGTTTGGAAGGTCAAACCTCTTGTCTGTTCCACCCTCTTCTCCTTCAGGAAGGTACTATATGAGAAACCCTCTGAGCTGAATCTCATGGAGTTTCCTGGCCACTGAAGGTTTGTCTACACAGTAGCTGAGAAGGTGATTCCCAGCGCAGAGAGACAGAGTGCACTACCTCTGCTTGAGGCAGCCTGTTAAAAACAGCAGCATGGCTGTAGCAGCTTGGGCTAACCACCCGAGTATGTACCCAGGGGGTTGGGAAGAATTAAACTCAGGCAGCTAGTCCATGCCACTGCGGCCACACTGCTATTTTTAGCATGCTAGCTCGATCAAAGCTACTGTGTCTGTCTACCCACTCTGGAAAGCATCAGCCCAGCTGTTGTGTAGACACACCCTTAGTAGTTTTTTGTTGCATAAGGGGCACTTTTGCTGTAAAGGAGGATATGACTAAGCAAACGGCACTTGGAAATCCTCTTGAGTCTAAATTCTGTTTAGGACACACATCATCATCTTGTTGTAAGGAAACTTGCTTACCGACTTCTACTTCAATGGAATTGTTTCTTGGGTAAAATATTGCTGGTGGTGTGTTCAGTGGACTCACTAAACAAAAAAGCAAAAGTTATTTCAGAAATTCAATGGCAGCTGCAGCATATAGTAAGTGCTACACTACCACAGTGATGACATTCCCAAAGAATGCCTTAAAGAAAGACATGCAAACAGTGACTTCTGAATAGATAGTGATCAATATTAAAATGCAATGGCCAAGCCCTTGATGTTTTTGTTTGCTACTTTAGGTTAATTTACTCTTCTCTCCTCTTTAAGCTCTGGGGCTGCTTTATCTTGGCACAAGGGGATCAACCCTCAGCACAATGGCAGCAGGACCACAAGAATACAAAAGTGAAGTGTAAGCCACCATCTCTCTCTCACACACACACACACACACACACGCTGTGTTGTTCTTTAGCTGTAGTTGAGAATCTGGGTAGTATTCTTGAAGTACAATGACATAAAAAATAAAAGGTTATACCTGTCACAGTTAGACTAATGTCTCGTGAAATGTTATATTGTTTTCCCTTGTAAGTATATGATGTTCTGCATGTATAGTTTCCTTTGTCATGTAGAGTTGCATTTTTAATCACAAGGTAATCATTGGAAGAGACAAACCTTTCCTCTTCAAGCAGCTTACACTCCTAAACACAATTACAATGCTCTGTTAAATCACAGATAGAATACAATATCATGTCCCTCCAGGGCTTGCCTAAACTTTTTCTGGACCATAAAGCTGGGATAGTCTCCCTGGTTTGTCATGGAAAAAGACAAACATTTCCCTAGGCTCTGAGGTTGCAATTCAAACAAACTCCAGGTCTGTCCACAGACAGGCTTACTTACAATAACTCATTTTACAGAGGGGGAATTAAAGCAGGGAGAGGCCAGAATTTGCAGAAATGTCCACTAATTTAGGGTACCTCAATGATCGGGCACCCACCCTGACATACCTTGTACCTGATTTTTCAGAGTACTTAACTTTTTTTTAAATGGAGCTTTGGATTGCGCAGACATTAATCCATCCTCACAACACTCCTGCAAGGAAGGTGGATAATTATTATTATTCAGATTTAACAGTTCGGGAAATGGAGAAAGGAAGACAAAGGAACTTGCCAAAGTCAGAGAGTAAGACAGTGGCAGAGGTAGGATTAGATCACAGGACTTTCTGGCATTTCCTGTTTTTTGAGTGCTAGACAACTTTACCAGCATTCTTTTAATGTATTTTTATTATGTCATAACCAAGGACTGTTTAGTTAAGAAAAAACAATTTCTATTATGTACAACTGTAACAGTCCCCTTCATAAATAGTCAAGATAGCTTGAACTCCTCACCCTCAAAACTGCCACACAGATTTCTACCACTTAAGCTAAAGGACTAACAGCAAGGAGCAGGAACATGTTGTGTACCAGCCACTGGAGGAAGTCATGTAGCACATGGGAATGGTGGGCTACATATGCAGCAGTAGCCCCATTTTACAGGTTGCACAGCCAAGCACACAGATCTAGTACATTCCTTCTAGTAGGCAATGTGGAAAAAAGGAAAAGATTTGAATCTGCCATATTAGAGATGTAGTCATGGGTTTCTGCATCCAGCAGACACCTGAGGATACCATCCCGGAGATCCTATGAGGATCGACTCCTCTCTACTGACACCATGGCAGAAGATCAACGCCTTGAACATCTTCCTGATCCCCCATATTTCATTTGTCCTGAGGGGTTCTGCAATGGTGAAGGTACCTCTTAACAAGACGGACAGCACCTTCAGGCAGCTAGTAAAGAAGTGGATGTTTCTTCCCCAGAGGGCCAGCAATGAACTGATGTACATCTCGCACAGGCAGAGAGGCACCAAAGTCCCTTGAATGGGTGATCTGTCAAATGTTGCGGTGATCACTCACGCCTTCTGATGTGCCTGGGTGCAATGGTGAGGAACTTCGTGGAAAGTGCTATGCATGACATCATCAGGAGGCGAATAGCCAGGACCCCTTCCAACCAAGATGTCACCACCTACTTGAGCGCCTCACTGGAAGGCAAATTTGGAAGAGAAGGGGGAGACTGCTTCATTCTGGACTCGTACCTGCAATGCTATGCAATGACTGGAGAACATATCAGCTGGCACTGGACGTGGTGCGAGGAACGCCAGGAGCTGGGTGTCCTAGTGCCACAGGTGAAAAATACAGAGCACACAATCATCACTCCGAGAGCTAGAACCATGCTGGAGAGGACCCTGAAGGATGCCATCTGCTGTCAGTACATAGAAAACCTGAAACGGAAGCCATACCAGGGCAAGGCCTTTGAGGTGACGTGAAAGTGGGACGCCAGCAACCACTCTGGGGGCAGTTTCACCCAATTTGGCAACTGGAGGTTCATCCACAGGACCCGGCTCAACTGCGTCCCACTGAACTGAGCCATCTGCCACGGGAATCAGGACAAGCAATGCAGGAAGTGCGGCTATGCCAATGGGACACTACCATACGCCCTGTGTAGCTGCAAGCCCCATTCCAGAGCTTGGCATCTGTGACACAGTGCCATCCAGAATTGCCTAGTCAGAGCCATCCTGCCATCCCTAGGGAGGTGGCTGTAAACTCTACCATCCCCAGAATGGACAGCCAACTGCAACCAGACAGCATCATCATCAACAAGGAACGGAAGAAGATCATCATGATGGATGTTACAGGTCCCTTTGAAAACCGGACCCTGGCCTTCCATGATGCCCGATCTCAGAAGCTGGAGAAATATATCACTCTGGACAAAACCTTGAGAGCTAGGGACTACGAGGTTCAAACTCACGCACTGATTGTCGGAGCTCTGGGTGCCTGGAACCCCAGTATTGTGCGAGTGTTGAGAGAATTGGTGAACACTACTCTTGGCTGACGCAGCAACTCATGATGTCAGATGCCATCAGATGGTTGAGGAACGTCTATCTAGACCACATCACAGAACACTGGCAATACCAGGGGAGATGAGCTGGAGTGCCGATGAGCAGTGAAGTCAGGAAAGTAACTGAAATACTTCCCTGATGGATTGTATTTTTTAAGGGATGACCTATCCTAATTTCTCAATGACTGAGGGACAATTTTCTCTCATTGCTATATTTGCTTTCCACAACCAACTTTCTGTATAACTTTTTCATGAATGATGTACCCGAATATTTGGATATTAATATCTAAACTGTATCTTTAGAGTTATTAATCTAAATTTGGGCTATCACTGATTATGTACTATATGTATTGTATGACTTATACATTTTATGTATTTTTGGATACTCTAAGAACTACACCCAGATGTATAGATACACTTTCATTAAGCTGTGTATTATATAATTTTTTAAATATGTTCCCTGCGTTTTCAGAATTGACCCTTGTGTAACTTCTCAAGCAGGTATGAATCCTTGCTCACTAATAAGGCTTGTACAGGGCACCAAACACCAGTGCAGAAAAAAAAAGGAGTCTAGAACTCATTGTTGGAGAACCATTAAAAGCAACTACACCTCTACCCTGATATAACGCTGTCCTCGGGAGTCAAAAAAATCTTACCACGTTATAGGTGAAACCGCGTTATACCGAACTTGCTTTGATCCACCGGCGTGTGCAGCCCTGCTCCCTGGAGTGCTGCTTTACCGCATTATATCTGAATTTGTGTTATATCGGGTTGCGTTATATTGGGGTAGAGGTGTACATATCAAGGTCCTAAAACTGAAACTCCCCTCAAAATGCATTCACAGGAAAAATTTTAAAGTAGTTTTTTTATTTTAATGATTCACCAACAAAACTGGACTTTGAATGAAAAACCCATGTTTTAAAGAAAATAAGAAATGCTAACATTGAAGAATCATCATGTTTTCCATAACCACCCTTTCTAATAGATTAAAAGGTAGAAGGGAATAACATATACTTACTTATAACATTGAAATATAAAATGAAGAATTATTAATGGTAAGATTAGGAGCTTTGATAGCTATGTTTTTAATCATTTGTAATTATGAGTTGTGAATAAGTACAAATGAGGTAACACTTAGGTCAAGGCCTTGCTGGAATAAGTGTGGCTTTGGCAATTCCTTTATACAGAATTTATGATTTGCTTAAAATGATATTATTGCCAACAAAACAAAGGTAACATGTTGTGCGGGAAGTCTGGGGGTAAAAACACACAATCCTGTAATAAGAAGAAGCCTTTTTTAAAGAGAAGATCCAGGGTAAGGTGACACAAAAACAACATGACACCAAAACTGCAAAACCAGGGCACCTGAATTTGGGCATGCACAATGCATGGGTCATTTAAAACCCAAAGGGTTGATTTGTTAAAAGCCAATTGGATAAATATTAAGTAATCTGTAATGCAGAAACGTATAAAAAACCTAACTGAACCAGGGTCCAAACTGGAGAACCACCAGACCAGAAATTGAAGGACAGGACTGAAGAGATCAGGGAAACAATGACCATCAAGAATTCTAGGAGGACTTCTGGTGCCCCAGAATGTGGTAACTTGAGCCCTTTGCCCACTCCATTTTGTCTGTTATTATTTGTCTGGCATAAATGTATGTCCAGACACTATAAGTGACAATAAATAAAGGCCAAAATTGATTACGCCCAAATTGGATGGACTTGTGACTCAAGCTTCCCAACTTTTACCCCAATATCATGATCACTTGGCTCTCAGCCCAGCACACCTTCTTTGCAAGGCCAAAGAATATCTGGATGGGGGAAAGAGCTGCAACAACCACTGCCATTTTGACTGCGTAACATAATTTTATAATGGGAAGTGTGAAGCAGCCTTAACATAAGAGGGAGCATAGCAACCCTACACCAGATACCTTCCCTTTATGAAAGATGAGACCATTGTTTACTAAATTTGTTTTCACAAGGAAATTATATTCAAGGCAGTTATACTTCACTAGAAAGTAAGTCTGTGGCACCTCCTGGCTATGTGGTTCAGTGGCTCAAATTTGAGCTCAATTTCTGATCCATAATTCATAAATAAAAGGCACAGACCAAAAGGTAGGGGGTCTCTAACTAGTACGTGCCTTTAGAGAAAACAAAAGCTAAAGGTGCCAAGTATCAGGGGGTAGCCATGTTAGTCTGTATCCACAAAAACACCAAGGAGTCCGGTGGCACCTTAAAGACTAACAGATTTACTTGGGCATAAGATTTCATGGGCATCTGAAGAAGTGGTTTTTACCCATGAAAACTTGTGCCCAAATACATCTGTCAGTCTTTAAGGTGCCACCGGACTCCTTGGTGTTTTTTTTAAAAAGATAAAGGGTAATTGTCACCTTTTCTCAGTTTATTTTGCAAAAGCTCTTCTCACATTTAAAAAATGCTGTAGTTTTTCCATTGCCATTCATAAACATCAGTGACTGATATTTAAAAACACTGACTATAGTTTACATATCAAGGAGTTATGACCACATAAAAGTACTATTTTTACCTTATACCACTGAAGGGGCAAAGTATTCTCCTCATCTCTGAAATAATCCAAATGAGGACACACAACCTTAGCATTTGACGATGTTAGTATCTCCTCCCCGATGGCAAATTTTTCATTAAAGCATAAACCATAAATATTCTTGAAAACTATTAGGTTCATATACATTTTTCTGCAGCTTGATAAATTCCTGCAATGGAACATAAAATAGCTGAATTAAACTATTTATCATATCATCCACGTGTATAGCCTCACAACTTCAAGACATGCAGCTTCTTTTAGAGGAGGGGTTTGGAAGTCTGTAGTTTCTATAGTAAGCTGACCATCCTATATTTGGCCCATCTTGAAAGAGTAAAAATATTAAGAACATGCCCTCTATTGTATTAATTCCCTCCACAGCAGTACTTATGAAGAAATGTAACTATACACTGATTATCACACGCACCCCCCGCAAAAAAAGCAAAACCAAAAAACCCTACACACAACTTTGCAGCTTACTTCTGCAGTCATATAACTTTTTTTTCTTTACCTTATAACACATTCATAAGATCCTGAATCTTCTAAAGTTGCAGGGAGAAACCAAATGAAGTTCTTTTGCTGGTGAATTCTGGAATGTTTGTCTTTAGCCACAGATATTTGGCTACCAGTTTTGTACCAAGTCAAGTTGTAGTCTGTGTTTTCAAAATTCAGTGTTTTATCTACTGAACAATTGACAGCAAGTGGCTGTCCATCATGTACAAAATTTTGCTTAAGAAACACATCATTCACATCATAGACTTTGCATTCCTCTAAAGGAAGACAAAATGAAAAACAAGAGAAGAGCTTAAAAATTGTGAAAAAAAATTTGAGTTTTGTTTCTTAACTATGTTGACAAAGTTTACTACAATTTCAACATTCATCCTTAATTCAATTACAGGAGAGAGAACTACTGTTATTCATCTTCAGACTGGAAGATACCACGCAAGCATACTCAGACAGCGTGGTGGATATAGCTAGGCAACTGAAATGAAATATTCTGTGTTCTGCATGCCTCAACTTTAAATGTGGGCAAATCCCTACTGCAGGGCTGCCATTTTTGTGTTTCATCTTAGATGCAGAATGTTAGTGAATCATTGTTTTCTCTGACACACACACACACACACACAGACTTCTTATTTGTTCTTACTTTGTTTCTTAACTTAGCTTCTTCATCTGAAATAAGCCATCAAGAAAGAATAATGTATGTTCCCATTTTTCTGTATGTAAAAGCATCTAGTTTGAAGATGAAAGTATAAATTGTACACATATCAAGGGATTTCCACTCAGCCACCTTCTCATGAGTATGAAGGGTATGATTTTTAAAAGCACTCAGTATTGGCCTACTTCTGCTCCCACTGGGATTCAATGGGAGCAGAATTAGCCTAGAGGTGAGCATTTTTGAAAAATCCTACCCTATGAACCTTTAGTTAGAGGTGTCAACTCTGGTTTTATGGTCATATTTCAAACTCAATCACTACATGTTGCTCATCTAAAATTCCTTTTGTTTCAGCTGGACATGGTTTTCTTCCTCATGCTCTACTTCACATTTTTTCTGTAGTACTGTGTGCTGTTAAACTGTTGCTACAGCTTGTGACAGAGGGTTGTATTTTAGTGGTGGGTGAAGTCGTCATTTCTGTGCCTATAGAGCCAAAGCAATCCTTCCCCTTTTAAATGTGGAGGGTATGAAACACATGCAAATATTGACCTGATCTGGCTATAAAGAACATAAAGGGTATTGGAATAGGCTCCTTTCTGCCACCAAACCCTAAGTGGTATCCAAAACAGCAGTGGGAGGGAGGGGGGAGGAGGAGGAACGCGGCATGCTCGGGAAAGAGGTGGGGCTAGGGTGGGGATTTGGGGAGGGGTCCAATGGGGCAGGGAGTGGGTGGATTTGGGGCGAGGCTGGGGGCGGGGGAGCGTAAGCACCCACCGGCGCCAAGGAAAGTTGGCACCTGTGACCCTCACCAGAATGATCTGTTAGAAACTCAGTGAACAAAAATTCATGGAGTTTCTCTTTTAAAATCAGACTGTGTCCTGCTGCAAGGTTTTTGGATAGGAGGATTTGGCCCTTAGCTTGAAAAGCAATTTAGGAACAGAATATAAAGGCAATATATGCTATTATGTAGCATTATCACTGTGATATTATTACTACTGTTACATGATCAGATAACAATGGACAATATGGCATGTTATTGTGCAAATGATATTCTAATAAAAATAAGCTTTTTTTTCCTAACTGTAGAGGCAAAGTCACAATTTCTTGTATTACTGCATATATGTTTAAGATAAATTTTCATACTGTATCTCATCTATATATTTTTTTAACTTCAACTATATTGTATTAAAAAACACAGTTAGGGAAAACCAGATATTTCTCCCACCCCAAACATCTAAATTCTAGTTCCACCTATTAGATCAAGTGAAGAAGCATTTTAGGTTATCGTATTATAATAATTTATTTGTGCTGGTATATCTGATAAGGAAGCAAGGCATTAACCAGGATATATGGAGATCACACTAGCAATTCATATATTATTTCTTATTTTCACTAAATGTGCACATTTTGCATTAGTAACATTCTATGAAAAGACGAACTAGACTGCAATAACTGTCTGTCCCCAATGGCATCTTATTCAGACCAGATCTATTAGAAATGTAAAGAGAGAGAGAGAGAGAGCAGCAGCAGCAGATCTGGATTGTTAGCCCATGACTGAAGGGCAGAGCAAAATGGATGCAATTCAGAGCTATATCTATTACGAAAAGTAGGTTATCATAACTAAGTAAAGTGATTAACTGGTTACAAAGTTGATATCTTCCAGTTTGTGACCATGTGTATGTTTCATTATAATGTGAACGCATTCAGCAAAGCTAAGCCCCAAAAGTTGTTCAATAAGGCATTCAATATGCAAGAATGCTGCATATTACACTCTGCTTCAAAGACTTCTACTGTTATTAAGACAGTATGCAATGGAAACATTTGCATCCCCTAAGCACAGAAGTCCCACTATTATTAAGATTGCTTATCTTTAGATGTACATATATTTGGAAACAGCTACTCTCAAAGAAAATTACTGTAGTATGTGTGAAAGAACCAATTTAGGAACAAACCCTTAAGGATCCACTGATTAACTTACCTGCCTTGACTGAATAAAGAAATACTGTTATACTGCACAAAAACAATGTTGTTGATGTCATGCTTCACTAGAGAGGGTGATAAAAAGAAAGACCTCAATAATGGCTTTCAAAAAAACACTTCAAAGCTGAATTTCAATAGTTTATATTAATGCACACTCCACACATTATTTAAATTTATATAGTACTTTTCTTCCAGAAGGCTCTCAACATGCTTTACAAATTTGCAGTACATTGGAGGGAATCACCTACCCAGTAGTGCAGTGGTTTTTAAAGCATTGGTCTGCGGACCCCTTGGGGTCTGCAGACTGTATCTAAGGGATCCATGAAAGGTTGTCTTCACCATAGAACAATGGTTTTCAACCTGTGGTCCACAGAGCCCTAGGGATCCGTAGACTGTCTAAGATTTCCAAAGGGATCGCACCTCCATTAGAAATTTTTTAGGGATCCACAAATGAAAAAAAGGTTGAAAACCACTGCACTAGTGAAATGCACCCATCTCTGGGATGGAACAATGGGACCATTCTGCACCAGTCACACTACACAGCACTTGTTTTCTATTAAAAGGGGCGGGGGGGGGGAGTGAAGAATAACTTCTTCAGTTTAAACAAAGGGATTTTAGCTAGGAAGAATATAATTACCTAAAAACTACAACTGGAGCAGGACACTAGGGTTAACCACCTTATTCTTGTGAAAAGGGCCACAGGATCTTTAAACGATCACTGGTTCACATCTCAGACTGAAGATGCCACTTCCGGCTGAGCAGTACCCCACTGCACAATATTGGGAGATTAGCTCAGAAGAACACCATGTACTGAGTCAATAGCATTACATCTTGCAATACCTGCTTGCCTTTTATTTTTTAAACTCCTCCTTATAAGTTTCCCTTCTAAGTATCGAACAGGACCAGTCATGCTTAGCTATGAGAAAGGGTGAATGGCTGCAAGAACGTTGAGCAGAAAGAGTATGTTGAGCATTAAAAAGTAAAGACAAACGTTTTTGGGTGGAATTTCAGAAACTTCCTAGAATGATGAAGCCTGACATTTTCTCATTGAATTCAGTACATAAATAGCAATGTTTAACTTAGCATAACACTTTGGTGTCACTTAAAAAATGAAAATATTTTGATGGAAAGAGAACATTATATCAGAGAATGGGATTATTTCTGACCTCCAGTTATTTTCTGCCATCTTTCTCTTTATAACGTTTTGTACGGACTGAGTAGATTTTTAATACCAGATATGTTAGCCTCCAGCTGTCTTATCTGTACTTAGTACCAAGTAGTCTGACTGTTGGGGGTGCCCCCATAAATGAAACCTTGAGAAACAGAATGCTGGTTTCCTGCTGTTCTCTGGCCAAATCTCCAGTGCAGTTCCCTGCATGCTGCCCCTCCTCTCCAAACTGTTCTTTCAATCCACGGGAGCTTCCTTCAGTGTGGGAGAGCTCTAAACAGGACATCCGTCCCACACACAGGCACAAAACAACTTAAAGCAGGTCCCCTCTCTGGTTATTGTCACTAGGGAGAGGAGAAACATCCACCACTGTGAAGGTAAGTTGCTGCTCAGTGTGCTGAGTTGGACCCTTGCTTTAAGGGCCTAATCCTGCACTCACTGAGGTCAGACACAAAACTTCAATTGATTTCAGTGGTGCAAGCTCAAGCCTTAAATGTTCCTCCTCCTATCAGATTCCCCACAAGAGCAAAGCTGCACTTCTCTCATTCCACACTATTCCCCAGTGCTGGCTCCCCATCTTATTTCCTCTTTATTCCTCTGAATATTGATATATCCAGTTAAAACACTAGAATTAGTCTCATCTAATCTTTAAAGAACTGTAGTCTTCAATGCATGTAGGATGAATTTTGCATATTAATGGCTTTCTTTCTAGGAGAGTTTTGAATGCCCTCTGACCAGACAAATGAATCAAAATTGTAAAATATGAATGAGTCCTGTTTCTCCAACGTGAATGGAACAACACATAGGCAGGCAAAATATCACATTGTTCCTTTTAAATAAATCCATTTGTATTTCGTACCAGGAAAAAGGGAAATGTATTTTTAACAATTTTTATAAACTGCAAAGTATTCTGAATCCCGTTAGTCACCACTTAAGAATTCACACCTCTTAATTTTCTCACTTCTGATCAAAAGAGAATTGCTCTATAATTGGATTAAAGTCTTTGCAAGCAAAGGCACTCCTTCCAGGAAAGGATCACTTGACATGTGTTTGTACATTTAACTGTTACTAAAGATTTAGACCCCGATCCTGAAACTTTATCTGAAGGGGGCGGACCCTCAGGCACAAAGACCTGCTGACATCATTGGAGTCCAGCCATGGGCATGCACTTGCAAGATTAGGGCCCAAGTTATATTCATTAAGTATTTTCTGTGAGTAAGAAGAAAAACCTTCAAAACAACCCAAGTGGATAACTACAAAGCAGCATTATTTCTTGAAAGTCCCAACCAGAAGTATTTGCATATAATTAAAAAACATATGAATAAGAAAGTAATTTCTCGGAGTTGTAAGAAGAACGTAACTGAGTCACAGGTTCAATTTCTGTACATTTTAACTAGAGTCACAGCTCTGTGATCCATGCTCAAGAGAAAAGGAGTACTTGTGGCACCTTAGAGACTAACCAATTTATTTGAGCATGAGCTTTCGTGAGCCACAGCTCACTTCATCAAGAGAGTGTACAGTGATTGTGGATACTATTCTCCCAGGTGATCTTCCCGACCACAGAGCCAAGGCAGAGTAAAGGGTCCTTACATGCATATTTTCTCTCAGAGATTCACGCATAGTAAAACAGTCATTAAAATAATCACTCTGATATTTGCAGAGAAAAATGTTGCCTGATTTAAAAAGTACTGGACCCAATATTGTGACCCGATTCTCATACCCATACCATCCGAAAGAGACTTAGGCTTCCCCTCTCCCCACATAAAAGTCCTCTTTTAAATACAAGATATTCGAATGTAGATTTTATAGCACACGCTGGATGAACTAACATTTCCATCAGGAAACCAATACCTCCAGTTTTGGACTGTTTAGGTGGCAGTCACAGAATAATGTGAGACAAAGTAGATGAGGTAATATCTTTTAGTAGACCAGCTTTCTGTTGCTGAGAGAGCCAGCAGTTGGTCCAGTAAAATATATTACCTCTCCCACCATGTCTCTCTAATATCCTGGGACCAACACAGCTACAACTACACTGCATTCAGAACAACGTATCATGCCAGGAGTAAAATCAACAGGAGACCCTCCCCTTTAATATGTGTTCACTGGGTGATCACCGTGTAAAGACAGGGAAAATAATCTTACCCACTTATCTTCTCTTTTTGTATATATCAAGTGTATCCCATTTGAACATGTTTTCATGCAGCTCTCTCTTCCTTTTGATAACACAAACTGCTGTCAGAAATGAATCGTGGGCTGCTTTAAGTATTTTTAATATTATCTATTAGGATGGAAAATAGGTTTAGAAAAAGGAAGTTCAGTCTGCATGCCTTTTAAACGGAAGCTCCAATTTCAGAGGCTTGGCTCCAGACTGAGCGAGAATCTTTTTCTCGCTCGGGTTTCCCGGAGGCTGATACTCATGGGCTGTGATCACCGCTCATTTTAAAGCCCTCCTCACGCGAAGAGTAGAGGCGGCTGAGGTTGTTACTCAACCTCGGCTTGCATAAGACCGCCCCAGCACGTGGGGTTCCCGCCGCACCTAGCACGCGACCCACCTCTAGCTAGGGCGGGGGTCTGAGTTCGGGTTAGGGGGCAGCCCGAAGGCCTGGGCACAGCGGCCAGGGGCACGGCACGGGGCGGGGGCAGTTCCCACCGGCTTCCCAGGGCTGCGGACGCAGGGTTGCCGCCGGCTCCCGCAGCCTGTGTGGGCAGCGCCTTCCGCGGCGGGGCCGGGGACCGAGCCCCGAGCCCCCTGCGGGCCGCCCGCCAGCCGCGGGGATGCCGCCCAGCCCCGCGCCCCGGAGCCAGCCTCCCCGGCAGGTGCCCCGCGGCAGCGGTCGTGGGTAACCCCGGCTGGCTGCCCCGCGGCGCGGCGTTAACCCGGCTCCAGGGGCCGGGGCTCCCGGCCCGCAGCGGGGAGAGGGTCCCACCCGCTCACAGCCCGCCCGGCCAGCGGCATCCGCGCGGTTCCCCGCCCCGGGACGGACCCGGCCAGCCCCCGCTCCCCGCACCAACCTGCTGCCCCGGCGCTGCCGCCTCCTGCCAGCTGCCGCCCGCGTGGGACGCGGGCGGGGCCGGGGCGGCAATCGCTGAGCCGGAGAGACCGAGCGGCAAAGGAGCCTCCAGCCAGACCCCTCTTGCTACAGCACATGGGGCAGAGCCAGCTGTGCCTGGGGTCACTCACAGCTGGCCTGAGGGAGCAGCTGTCCCGATTTTATAGGGACAATCTAGATATTCTGGGTTTAGTCTTATATAGGCACCTATTACCCCACCCCTAATTTTTCCACACTGGTTATATCCTCACCTTACAGCCAACTGCTGCTCAGCTGCCCATGACCTGGCCCCAGCCACTAATGAGGACTTGTCTGGCTGGGGGGGGGGGGGGAAGGTATATTTAACCCTACCCTTCCATGAGTGCAAGGGACTGGACTAGATGGCCTACTGAGGTGTCTTCCAGTCCTACACTTCTATGAATCCATATTAAAAGTCCCAAGCCTAGAGGGCAAGGCCACCAGCTAACCCAGGTACTAGCCATGTGGGGCTTGCTGTGTTCACCAGAAACGCAAATACAGATGTAAAAACTGCAGCTATATCTCCACTGCTACCATGATCAACCCCACTCCTCCAACATGCCTTTCAAGATCAGTGGATCCTACAGGTGCCTTTCACAACCTGTGGCTTACCTCATCCAGTGCACTAAATTCCACAATAGGAACTATGTGGTTGAAACCAGCCAATCACTACACTCTCAAATAAACTCACACAGGAAACTGATAAAAGACAAACACACCACATCACCGGTGAGTTAGCACTTTTCATAATGCAATCGCTCTATAGCTGACCTCTCTCAGTCCTTATCCTCAAAGGAAACCTGCACAACACTTTCAAAAGATG